CACATTTTAGACTGTAACCTAGGACATAAAGTGAGAAGAGGAAAGAGGTCAATAGCTACCACTGAGGGTCCAAGGCGTCCCGATGGCCCCAGGTCCGGGCAGCGTCCCGCCAATCCTAACGATCGTCGTGATCCTTGGCGCGGGGAAGCTTCCAAAGTTCGGGTATTGAGGAGCCCCTTTTTATGCCCAGTAGCACCCCTTGCTCCTCCGCTGTATCTCCACCTCTCCTTGTTCTACATCGATGCTGATCGATCCTTCTTGATAACAGTTCTCAGGCTCGTCCCTGGCACTGGAGAATGGCACAGCACTCTTGAGCCAAAACAGAGCCCTCTTGCCTCCGCAAGGCTCCCTCCTTCAGCTGTTATCTCCCCCCACAAGGTTTCTGGAAGGGAGAAGCAGACACCAGCATCTCTTATCCTTTTGCTGTTTTCTGCCAGATGAACAAGTTGCTCAGTTTTGGTCTTTGCTCTGTCCAGGGCACAAGGACCTTACAGGCCTGGCATTCCCTTCCCAGGATCAGCAACTGCTGCTCAGGCAGGCTGCTGTAGACTCATGTCAAGATGTTAGCCTAACTTTTGGAGTGCAGATTCCTGGTGACAAGGTTGAGACAACGCTGTTTTTCGGACCGACTCTTACACTTCCCCAATATGCTTTATGTGCAGGCAGGATCACCTCTTACATCAATATCAGTATCACCATTATTTCTGTGAATCATGTCAGATGAAACTCTGTTGAACAGAAGGGAGATTTCATCCTGGTCATCTGTAAATAACGTATGGAAAACCAGTTTCATCCCTTTCCCAAGGGCTGTAGATACAGGAGCTGCCCTGACACATACGAGTTTGGGCTGTATTGGTACATACTTCACCCAGCTTGTAGCAGACCAGTCCATGTGAATGTGTGCAGCCATTCCAGGACCACTAATAAGACTGGACGATATCACAAAACCTCCCTGCAACAAAGAAGAGACGGTAGGAACAATTTGCTCTCACAGATCTCTGTATCTTTTTTTCTTTTTACTTATTTTTCTTTGGAGTCTTTCTTCAGCATTAACAATCATGAAAAAGCCTATGCTAATTTCATAAACCCCTAGCTTTTCAGTCAGGACTTCACTCGCTGTATTTCACTGCTTTTCAAGGAGAGGAAAATGCTAGTGCTTCTTTGGTGCAGTACTGGAAACAAAGTACTAACATCTAGCTCAGGAGTGAGCACTGGTTCTCAGAATTCCTTTACCTTCATTATACAGAGCCTTTTCACTGTTTGAAAGACTGCCTGGCTTAAATATTACTACGGGATAACTCTGAACCCAGGTCTCTGGTGATTTTCGGCCACTGAAACTCTTTTGCTGCCTGCTAATGAGCTGGTAGTGCCTAAGAAATACCCAGGATTAAATTTCGTTCTAACATAAGCATTTATAAGCGTGAATTAGTTACGCCTTTGCCTCAAGTGTGAAAAAAGTAAAAAAAATCTGCCCGCTTTCAACATTTATGCTCCTTATTTCTGTGTGCTGGCGGAAGAGTATGATGACACACTGCAGATAGTTTATTCCCCCCCCCCTTCCCCCCCCCGCCCCGCTATCTGTGATGTGAACATCTGGCATCAGGAAATAAAAGAGCATAAACCACTCTATTGCTTGTCTACATGAATCAATCTGCAACCCGAGCTGTGCTGAAAATAGTGGATGCTGGAATAATTTCTGCAAGGGTTGTATCTCACTGTTATGGGAGACTCAGCAGTTTTCCTATGGATTTTTCTAAATGTTACAGGTGACATGAATGTGTTTCACAAACGTTTTCTGTGGCAGAATGGGCTGAAGTTACTTGACACTTGATGTCTTTTCGAGCAGATTTTATTTTTGTTGGTGTTCCTACCAGGTATTTATTTGGTATGGTGGAACAAAAGGTTTTAATGATTTTATAAATTGTTCATAAGTCAGATGGCAGAAAATGCTTAAAAGCAAATATGACATCTAATGTTTCTTTCAGTCACGGAAGATCTTGTTAGAAGACGTGCAGAACATAACAACTGTGAAATTTTTTCGCTGGAAGAAATTTCTTTACATCAACAGGAAATAGAAAAATTAGAATATCTTGACAAATGGTGTCGAGATTTAAAAATTCTCTATCTTCAGAATAATCTAATTCCAAAAATCGGTAAGTGTTTTCTGTATAAGTTTCTTTTTAAGTGGGTTTACACACATAATTTTGAAATTAGGAAAAAATATCTGTTGTGTTATACTTTAAGGGAATGTAGAGTGAGGAACTACAGAGAAGTCCTTTGTGGATCTGCTCCTACAAGATTTCCTTTCCCTGTCTCTTTAGTAAATTTCTAAGAAGACCAGAAATTTGCAAGAGAAATTTTAAGTGAAAAAGATAGTACCGAGATACAAATCACTAGAATATGAGTGTGGAGCACCTTTTATTGATGAAAATCTCAAAAATCAAGGCATAACTTAAATATCCAGTCTTTGTGGCAAAGAGGGAGACAAACAGTTTTGCATATACTGTGGACTGTGATATCATAGGACTAGCTCTCTTCAGGCTCATTTTGAAATTCACTTTTTATATATATACAGACAGTACTTTTTGTTAACATTGAAATAATTTTCACTGCTTTTGTGCATAAAGGCAACGTTTTACAGTGAAGTCTCAATAGTCTTCCTGCACCACAGGAAAAGGTATGATTTCGTATGGTCGGTGTTTTGTGGTGTCGGTTCCCATGTTTGCTAGGCTCCCTACAGAAAGATATGACATCAGGCCTTGGGCTGGAAAAGCTTAGACTCTACAGATAGTGTGTAGATGAAGAATGGAAAGTCAGAACTGCTCAGGAATTATATTAGCGTATTTCTTCGAAGTTCCTTGAAAGGACAAAAAATTTTCTAAACTTTTAGGCTGAAATCCTGTGCTCAGGACTTGTAGGCAAAGGCTTTACATTCTCTGGAGGGGCTCATCAGGAAGCTGTATCTGTACTGATAACATCTGCATCACTTAGAGTGGAGGAATCTTCTCCCAGAGAGAATAAGGTTTTTGAAATTGCTTTAGGCTGCTCTGCCCCATCAAGGCTGGGACTAAAATGAGTTGTTTTTCTCTCTGTGTTCTTCATAAGGCACAAGACTTCATCTTGTTCTTTTGTCAACACTCATACCTCTTTTGGGTTAGTAAGGTATATCATTTTACTGTTCAGATTATTGCTTCTTGGACATAAGATTTTTTTTTAGCAATCTCATTTCTGAGACATTTAATTTTTGTTTTAACTTAATCTAACTGTAGGAGTTGGAAAAGTGTGCAACTTCCTACTTCATATATTCTTGTGTAATGTAACAGCTTTCCAAAACAATGCCTTAGTAACAAATGAAAAAAAAAACCAAAAAAGGGGCTGTATAAATAGTGACCAAACGGGTTGCCAACAGGGGTTGCGTTACAAAGTACTGAATTTGAGAAGTGATTCTTCCCAGTGGATACCAACATGTCCATGAGGAGCACGCAGCAGTTCCAAGCACGCTTCAAAATATCATAGCCAAATGGTTTATATTGACTCTGTTGGGATGATGTGTCTTTTCTTAAAGAAAACCTTTATACAATCCTCAAGATCAGACTGGCCTACAAATCAGATAGCAAGTTGTAAGGCATCCACTGTGTGGATGAGTCCTGGTTCTTTTCTTTTCTATAAATGGGAAAAACCCCACAAGATACCGTTGTCTTCAACACTTGTCTCTCTCACATCGTCATGTCTCTCTCTCTCACATCTTCACGTGTATGGGCACTGCTGTTACAGAAATACTGTAAGAAAAATGAACAGCCAACATAAGCTGCGCAAGTCCTGGCTGAAAAATCCATTTCATCGTCTTTTTGTGAATGATGAAGAAAATATCTCTCCAAGGTCTTAGTAAACTAAGTGGTAGGATTCATGTCACCAAGCTTTTAGACATCTATATTTTAAGCAGTTACTGTAGCCTCCCTTTATAACCAGTGATGAAAAAGAGGCATATTTTTGAGCATGATTTGGTTCACTGGTTCTAGACAGCCAATTTAAGATAAGACAAATCGCACCTCGAAGAGCCTATTTCTCTTTATTCATTATAGAAGAGCCTAGACGACTACCACAGCTTAGGCATGATCTGTGTTGGTCAGATGAAGCTCCCTCTGCTTGAATTTCTTTCTTTGTCTCAGCAGGGAGAGTTTGTACAGCAGTTAATCAGTGTGGCTTGTGAATTAGGGTTTGAGGTAAACTTTAATGACTTCATTGGATAGGTTTCCCAGTCAGATCTTTGAAACATGTAGTGATTGGGGAGAAATTGGTGACCTGTGACACAAATTGTAGTGTATCTTGTCTCAGATTTATGTCTCTGACCTGTGTGTCATGTCTTTCAAGTGGTATTGGCATTTTTCAGATGTTTTGGGGACTGATGAAGATTATTGCTACCTTATCCCCTCTTTACACCCTTTCTGTATTCAAAGGAGGAAATACTAGCCATCCTGACACAGCCCCACACATTTGAACCTGCTGATTTCAGTAGTTCATGGTGAAAATAATGCAGGTTAGATTCCAGACTAGGAGGGGGAGTGTGTGTGTGTGTGAGTGGCTTTGTTTTGTTCATACCGAAACCATAAAAATTCTTATTTGCAAAATTTTTAATAACGGAGGAGAGGAAGTTTCTTGTATTAACCCTGTAGATAAAAGATCTTTAAAAATTAAATAAATACTGAAGAAGCCAATCTTTTCTGTATGAGTGAGTGTAAAACTCCAATTTTATAAAGCTTGGCTGAGTATGGTCTGATCCTTTCATGACAAATGGAATGTTTCACCATGCTTTTTGGCCAGTGCTCTTGAATTCTATACATGCTTTATGGATTTGTGATAAAAAATGTGTTTATAACCTTCCTTATTGCTTTTATTTTAAAATTTTAATTTGTATTTTTGGAGAACTTTTTTTAGTTTTGCCTTTTTATTAATATTAAAATATTAATGCCCAGTAACCTGATACATACCTGATTTGTCGTTCATATTTTCTGCTTTATTGTTTCTTTGAAGTAAAGTGAGCAAGTAAAATGCTAATCCTCTTTCCAATGAAGAAAACTGAAATAACATCTGTCTTATTACAGAAAATGTGGGCAAACTAAAGAAGCTGGAATATTTAAATGTAGCTTTGAACAACATTGAAAGAATTGAAAATCTGGAAGGTCAGATTTTAAACAAACCGTTTCACCTTTCTATATTGAAATGCTTCAGTTGTGACTTAGTGCAAAAGAGAGTGGAAGCCATTAAGCGTGTCCACCAGCAGAGGTGCTTTCTTGACAGTCAGAAAGAGCCTTTTTGTGTGCAGCATTTCAACAAATGCTTCTTTGTAGCAAGTGCTTGTTGCCAGCTATGATAGCTCTATTCTTTAAAGCTTTACAAAGTGGAAATCAAAATTTTTCATGAAATTGATATTTCCCCACTGTAAAGATAAGACAATTTGTTACGCAGATTAGCTGGAGCGATGCTATCTTTTTTTAATGCTATGCAAGCTGCAAAAAGCCTCTCTTGTGTAATGTTCCAGCACTCATCTTCAATTCAGCAATCAAGTGTCACATACAAGAAGGTTCTAGTCTGTGTGCAGGTTGGATTGGCAGTCTGGGGAATTTTGAAAGAGTTTATTCAGATGATTCTTTCCTCTGTCATTGCATGAAGTCCTGACTGATTTAGCTGTGCTTAATCCTTTATCCTGTTACTATAATTGCATGTGCAAAGATCTAGCACTTTACAAGATCTACAGCTAAGACTTAGAGCCACCCATAACCACATTTCATATTACTTGATAATTTCTGACTTGATTGCTTTCTCTTTTTTTGATTCTGATTAGGCCAGTTGCTGAATGTGTAAAATGTCCACCTTGACAAGCGAACAATGAAAAAAAAGCTGGGGTTTTTTGTTTGTTTTGATTGTTTTGGTTTTGGTTTTGTTTTTTCCCCAAGTCTACAAGTTGATTCGAGACAGTGGCTTAAATCAAATTAAAAAAATAAGCAAATAGGCTAAACAGAAACTTCTAAAACCTGAAGAACTAGGTAGTGCATTACATATTTGGGAATTTGTTGAGAAACTTGCATCTGTTTTCATGCCAGTAAATTTTAAGTTCCTCTATCAGCTTGCATTATTTATTACTGTGATTTGTCATTTACTAAGGAGTCAGAACCTTTGGGAGTGAGCCTCACAAAAATTTGGGTTATATAAATCCACCAATAAATCATTTTGAGTTGTTTATTTCCTTTCAGCTCCACTATGCATAAAATACTTGCCAAATAGACCTGCAAAGGAAAAGAGGTGATTACAACAATGAGCATCAAAGTTGAGCTTGCTCTTAGCTAAACTTTTTTACTCTTAGAGTCAAGGTTATGATTCATGGAGAGATTGTGATAAAAGGAGAGGCTGATAAATTTTGAATCCGGATTTCCCAGAGCATTTTCTTAGCTAATTTAGAGTTTCTCTTTGTAGTTAGTTGTTTTGTTAACAAACAACATTTTATCACTGGTATTTGCAATTTAACCAGTGATAGCTGAGCCCGTAGAGTGGAACACCTCATCTTGACTGGGAGTGCATTTTTAGAAAACCTTATCTTTACACTTGAATAATGTTAGCTAAGATTAACAATACACAGAAATGAAACCCATAGTTGATCCTGCTGTCCTGAAGCAGTTAGACACTCTTTTAGCCATGTGACGACTCGGTTGAGGAGGGCTACCAAGGCAATCAGACTGTTAAAACTGAAGTCCAGCTTATCTGAAAATGAAACACTCAATAGCTCATCTAGTGTACCAGTACCGACCAAAAAGTTTTGATAGTGATAAAACCAATAATAAGTTTTGATATTTTGTATTTTATTGAGGTTTCTTCTTTCTATAAATATTTTGACCTCATAAACTTAAGCTGTGAGTCACTCTTTCACTTGTGGATTGGAAAAGATGTGTTCTAATGAGTCGAAATTCATATACAGATGACAAATGCAGACAGTTTTATATTCAAATGTGTGCACGTGTGTGTGTTTGTGTGTGTGTGTGTATGTCGTGTACATTTATGTTATGGGAAAATCAAATTAAGGTTTTTTCAAACAGGCTGTGAAGAACTGAAGAAACTTGACCTGACAGCAAATTTCATTGGTGAACTCTCCAGTATTGAAGCCCTAAAATATAATATACATCTGGAGGAACTGTTTCTAGTGGGTAACCCGTGTACTGAATTTGAAGGTTATAGGCAATTTGTAGTGGCAACTCTTCATCAATTAAAAGTAAGATTTTAAAAACTAAATTTATATCCAAATCAATAATGAGCATTGTCAACTGAACATACTAATCCCAAACAAAATAAATCCCTGTGATGGAAAAGCTAGTAGCATTTTTCTTACTGTCCATAGGAAAGTAAATTCTATTCTGAGGAATAAATGACTATAGGAAATAATGGGAGAATAAATTGGTTCTATTTTGACTAAACCACATGCATTTGTTAACTTCTCTGTCATTTTTATTGGAGATCCTTAAACAAAGTTTTGAAAACATAAATACATTGTACAGTTCAGACTTTTTTCTCATTTGCTTTTATATAGACAATGTATTTTTAAATTATTCTCTTGATTGCAGTAAGTTACCAGGTTGTGGTACCATACCAACAGTATGTCCAAACCAACAGCGTAAGGCAGTAGAAAGAGAAGTTGATGTGAAAATGCCCTATATTACATTAGCTGTAAATAGATACTTTGAGATTGAGGTTTTGTGCAATGACTGAACCAATGTAATGATTTCCTTTCATTGAAATAGGCAGTCCCAGTCCTGAAATACGCTCCCAAAATTTCCCTAGGAGGACCACAGACAAGTGCTTAACTTATTAGGAGTAGATTCAACTCACTTAGTTGGCAATAAACTAACACATCAAAAGAGATAATTTTGTAACAGCTTCATGAGCTGAATCAAGGTCGGAATCACTACCAGAAATGGCTGAAGGGCCTCTCTTTACTACATAGCCTAATAAAACCAATGGAAATGCCTGGAAAATGCAAACAGCAGCTCTCAGGCACACAAAACCATTTTCAGATCTGAATAGCAATGTACTGTTAATTCTTTTTAGTATGATATAACTTTCATAGTGCTATGGAGGTTTGAAAGAGAAATTTTTGATTTTATACAGAAGGTAATTATCAAAATTAACATACAGTTTAATGGACTTATTGATTTGAATATGTTTAAAATTTCTCACATGTCTGTAATGATTTTTTTGCTTTTGGGAAGTGTTTAGATAGTAAAGAAATAGAACGTTCAGAGAGGATTCAAGCACTTCAAAACTATCCAGAAGTGAAACAGAAAATCAGAGATCAGGAAAAAGCTTACCTTCTCAAAAGGGCCAGAGAAAAAGAAGAGGCTCAAAGAAGAATGAAAGAAAGAAAGGACAAGAAACACAAACAAGTGGACTCTAAGCTTGGATTTGATAGGTAATGATAAGTGACAAGAGTTTGTGCGTAAATGTCAGTCTTCTTTCCATTAAGAATTTTGGTTTTCCTCACTAAATAGTTTATATAATTCTGCTTAAATATTTTTGTTCGTCTTTATTGTTGATTCTAGCAGAGTTATTTCCCCTCATGCATGTTATCTCCAATGAAAAATATAATTATTTACAAACGTAATTAATTACTGACCTGCAGACAGTGCAATGAAAGTTTTGCCCAGAACTCCAGGCTGAATTGTCTGGGTGCCAAAACAGTGTAATTGATAGCTCCTTTCCGGTGAATAGCTGGGAATTGTTATTTAAGTTAATACAGGGGTTCCAGAGAAAGCAGCTGTTCACTTATAATTTCTTTTGATTTAGAGTTATTAGATATGAAGACTGGAATGGAATATTGCAGATGTTTTGAGATGTAAAAGGCTACGGAATGTTGAATTCTATACTTCTTCCACCCAGTGTCACTGAGATGACCTAGACAGCAGAAGGACTTTTGTCTGAAGTCATCTTCCACTGCAGTTGCCATCCATCTTATTTTTAATCCAATAAAGACTAAGTTCCATGGAGCTGGCTATGGAACTTTGTCCTCACAGATAACAGCTGTAGCATAAATTTAGTTTTCTCTCTCTATGGACAGAGAATTTCTGAAGATTACAGAGGCTTAGGGCTAGGGGAAAAAATGATTCAGGTTCTAAGACGGCACTTGAGGAGATGACTTAAGTAAATTGTTGCTAAATTTCTAATCTGCTGCCACCTGATATTGGGAACACTTAAACATAACACAGACTGAAGGTTTTCTTTCACCTGAAAGTTGTGAGGGAATCTGAAAATTCTGCTCCTGAGGTTAAATCTGTTGAACTACCTATCAGGGTTTTCAGAGGGTGAGGCATAACCATAGTATCACTGCGTAGTTAAGTCAATGAAAAACATTATGTTCCGATATGTTTTGTTGATTGATGAAAGAAGCAGAGCAGAGAATGATATCCAAATATGTAAGATCTTGTTCTTGGTAGGAATTACAGAGCTATTAGTATTGGGTTAAAGAAATATTGCTGCAGGAATTCATTAGCAAGTACTGTTCCTCTTCCTTCTTTTCACTGGGAAAATTTTCCATGTGATCCTGTGTAGCCCAGACTCCCTACAGGGCAAAGAAAACCAGGAGGCAGAAGGAGGTGGAGAACAAGAAACAGGGAGAGCCGTTGAAGATAATGAAGAAGACAGAAGATTTTGGGAGGAGCCTACACCTTATACTCCAGAATCTAGACTAGAAACTCACAGATATATGGAAGAAAAACGGAGAGCTAAAGACAATATAAGGTATGTTTTTCCTTTAGTATATTCTGTGAATTGAAGAAAGGGAAGTTTCCAAAGGTACAGAGAAGAGGTAGGTGACTGCCTCAAATGAAACATTACTGAGAACAGGCAGCTTAAATCCCTGTTGCCTGTGCAAATATGCTTACAAAATAGAAATGAAATAATCATCCCATTCATTTTGGTTGTTTTTTTTCATTTTCTAAAATCCATTTGTAATACTCTTTATTTTGTTTTTCCTCAAATATAGTTTTTAAAAATAATTTATCTTTTCAACTGTGTTTTATGGACTTCAGAAGTTTCATTTTTCTATCAGCTGTTACGTTTCATGTAGTTCAATTTTTAATATTCTTGCTAAGAGCATTTATCAAGAGTTCAGACTGCATTATATAAATGCCCTACAGGCCATGCTACAAGACTTTTGTGCAAGTGGCGTTTCTAGCACCTTTTCTGTGTGACTTGGACCAAAGATATTCATCCCAAGTAACAGGATTCTTCACGCTATCTATGCTATTTTGGCATGCAGAATCTGAAGTTGTCTGGCCCCTGAAAAGCCTTTAAAACTTTCTAAAGTTGTCCTTGGTTTTGCTGAACATGGAAAATGAATGCAGATACTAGCAAAAAAAGTTATTTTATTGATGCTGGCTTATAAGTTCCACAAACACTGCAAGCAATGTCTTTTTCTTCCTTTTTTTTTTTTTTTTTTTCCCCTTATATAACAGCATTTGTGCCAGAGATTTTTCTAGCTGTTCTTTTTTAAGGGTGTGCTTTTTAAAAGATATATCAAGCCTAAGTATTGAAAAAGTCAGTCCTAGGGAGCTCTTCAAGAAGTCTGGAAATCTGCATAGCTTGTTGCTATTATTAATTCAAGGTCTAGCACTTTCCCAGAAGAACTACTGTGAAACCCAGATTCTAGCTAGTTAGAATTTTTCTGTATTTGAGGATGCCTTGCTCTAGTCAAAAGCAAATGTGTTCCAAATGCTTCCCTCTAAATATTCAAGGAGAGTCCAAATAGTTTTATAATAAAGACAGAATAATTCCTTTCTGGGTTTATCTACATTTCCGAGGCATTTAAAGGAGTTAAAAATCCTTTCATGGTTCATTTTTGTTTGGTGGCAAGATTTTTGTTAGGTAGCATGAGAAAGATGAGAACAGAAGAGTGCCCCTGACAACTTCAACTCATGCTTGCTGGTGGACAGGAGCTGAAATGTAACTTCAATTCAAATTACTCAATATGAAAGGATGTTTCTGTATAAAATTGACACAAACTCAATCAGACCAATGCCAAATTTGAGCCTATCTATATGACATGTTAGCACAAGTTAAATTTGCCAGCACGCAGTATAGTTGCATGGTTGGTAATAAACTGAGCAGCTTTGGCTATTGCCAAATGAGTGAATACTTGCAGTTTCATTCAAAAAAATTCAGACAAGTGTAAAATCAGTTGCAGCTGAAAAGTGCACAGGATCTCCTTTAGCTGCTTGTTGCCACAACAAGGCCTTTCAGCTCATCTCAGCACAAAGTTAAACACGGTATCTGAAACTCTGATTATGACATGACTGAATTTGTCTTAAAATAGTTCACATGAGCAGACAGATTTGATCTAGAAACAGATGATTAACAGCTAAAAGGTGGTAGGATGTAATTTCCTGAATTATTTCTGAGAACTGCATCTTTAGAACAGAGCGGTGGTTCGTTCACTTTGCATTTAAATGTCAAGAGTAGAGGTTCAGGTGTAGAAACTGCTAGCCCACGAATCCCACATTAAAGCTCTGATTTATACTATAGAACAGTATTTAACACGTGAATAGTAGTGAATCTTTCTTAAACAGAAGTTGTTTTTATGTAGTCATTCCAGTAGCTCCACTCGAATGTTTTTATTTCTTCTTCAAATCCATTGTATTTATAGACCAAATCTTTTTTTTTATGCTTTTTTTTTTTTCCCCTGAGGTGGTCTAAATCTTACATACTTTATTTCCCTCATTAGTGATTTACCTTTAGTGTTCTCTTAATCTTGAATTTATAGTAAGGCATTGGTTCAGGAACACAAAAAGCAATGTATTGGTGTTGTCTTTTTGAGAAATGCTTTTTTTAATATGCCAGCTGAAGGAGCCATACAGACTACATTGACCAGCTGAAGAGTGGATTAACGCAAAGCAACAATTACAGTGCTGTATTTTTAAAGAAAACTTAGCCATTTTTTATCTAGGTGCAAGAGGATTTTCCTCTTTTATGTTACTAAAATTCCTTACTCTTCCTCCCCTTGCTCATGATCTAAACATTTATACAGGAAAATACCAGTACTACAAGTTTTAATGATGTTACAGTGATCTGCTTTGTTTAGGTAGATAAATTTAAGGTAGCTTTTTTATTGCACTAAATGAAAGTCAGCTATGGTTTAATTGCTGGTAGTTGAACATGGATAGTGAAGATTAAAGTCTCCATCAGTAATATGTATTGTACTTTTTGAGGGAAGAACACGACAAAAAATGTGATAGATGCATCAACAAATAATCTGTATGTATGCACTTTGCTCATACTGTGTCCTATTTGGTGCTGCTTGTAATATTTTGACCATTAAAATTCTTTTTACTACTGCAGAATAGTGGCTGATGGACACGCTATTAAGAGATATGCCAAGCATTTATTCAGTAAAATGAATTAAGTTAGCATGAATAAAAAAATTCTTTAGAATTGCTTGCACTTACATCAAATCAGTTAATAGTGATGGTACCCCATGATTAGTAGGACCATAACCAGCAAAATATCCCATTTCATATGTTTAAGCAGTCCACTGATTTCTTAAGATATGCCATATAAATTTGCTATATTACTGTTTGATAATGGACATTGTGACATGCAGAAGGTGTTATTACCAATGTCAGTCATGATATTGCAAAGCATTTGCTCATCTTTAAATGATGCTTTTAAGGTGCAATTGGCCGTTTGATATAACCTGTTTCATTCCTGAAATAAGTTGTAGCCTTAATGTCAAATGCCAGATAATTCTTACCTCTTTCCATCCTCTTCTTTCTTTTTTGCTATTAAACCTAAAATACCAGAATGTGAAATATTAAATCATTTTTCTTTCTGTTTTGTTAAGGGACTCAAAAAAAAGAGAGAAGCCTCTTCGGACATTGATCACTGCAGAAGGAAAAGTTCTGAATGTAAATGTGCCTAAGTATGTGAGGTGTAAAGGTTAAACAGGCTAACCTCTTTATAGTTGATTTAGGCAACTATTTCAAGATATGTGACAGCAGAAAAATAACAGGGATGGCAAATTCTTGTTACAGTATTATATTCCTGGTGGGAAAACTGACTTCTGAATTTATACTCTGATGCTGGAAAAAGAATTAGTTTTCAGTGAGTAAAATGTTGAAGATCGTTTAATTTAACATCTTGGTCTTTGATGACTGAAGAACTTACTTTTCTGTAAAAGACATTTTACTCTTTTCCCTTCTATAGTAAGGCTCTCTTTCTTGGAGCTTCTTGCTAATAGTGGAAAAAGTGTAACCGGTTTGACTATTGAGGATAAATGTGTATGAGTAGGCACCTTAAATGTGAAAAAATACATCCAAGTAATATTTCTGGACAAAATCATTCTGTCCTCTGATGACAGACATGAAAATGGCAGAATTGCGAAGGGTATGTAATTAACTTTTATGGCATGAGGTCCTTTGACACTGAATGAGGTCTCTAGCAACAGAGGCTGGTGATACAGGGAAGTCTCTTGTATTTTATCATTGTCAAAGGCACCTGGGTATTCAAGTGTTTTGGGATGAGTTTCCAGGGGTGTCAGCCGTGCATTACCATTGGTTTCACTTGAACCAAGCCTTTCTTTTCTCAGGGAAAACAGGAGACAGAGAGTGTGAACATTGTTTCCTTATAAACGGCTCCACAAAGAGCCTCCTACAGCGGACTGTGATCAAAAAGTGGCCTACAAAGGGCCACGTACCTGTCTGCTGTCCTCCAAACAGTTTTTTCCGTCTTAAGACTGATCTGGCTGCAGAATCAAAGCTAAATAACATGCTTACTGTTAGCTTTCTGAAACGTGGAATTTTCTGAATCCATGCAAATTCAAGGAATTTGAAAACCTACATTATAGGATCAGTCCATAATTTTCAGTATAGGGAAAATTAAAGGTAGTGGCAGATGAACTTGTGTTTATTCCATGTGTACCAGAAGATACTTACCGTTGTATTGATGTACTTTTTTCATAAAAATGTGTTGACTGAAAAAAAATTTAAATAATTTTCTAGTCCAAAGTAGACAAGTCTAAAATAGTTTAAATCTGCTGTTAATAGAATTTGATTATACCTCTAAAAAGCAGAGGCATTTAGAATAAAGCTCTAGCTATCTTTTTAGAAGAAATACAGTCCCCTAGAGTTCACTGTTAGTAGCAGTCCTGTTTGTGTCAGCCAGGTTTTCTGGATTTGAATTTAGTCTGTGGATGTGCCCACGTAAAGCCAGATCAAGAAGCAGTTTTTCTCATGGCTTCAACAAGAATATCACAGCTCTTCAGTGCAATCTGGCAGTGTATTGCAGAGACATAAATAAAGAGATACGAGTAGACAGATGGTGCTCTCCAAAGTTTTTTGCTTCAATGAGAAAGACTAATGTCCATAGCAATGTCCAAGCTTCTCTGATGTTCTTTCAGAAGGTTAGCAAGAGGAATGGCTGCAGGCTGCTGAGAACAGACTATTTCTCTTCCTCAATTCTGATTAAGCTTCCCCCTAGAAAATTTAAAATTCTTTTCTCTTTTTTCACCCTTCATATTTTAGTGAATTCTCAAAATTCGTAATGCAGTAAGAGAAAAAAAGCATGAACAGGAAACAAAGCTGGTTTGTATTCTTTGTGGTTTTCCAATAAAAAATACCCATAAACTAAAACCTCCAGAAGCTTTCTTGCAAATTGACTGTATCAGAATACAGGAGAACAAAGAGTAAAAAATATATCTGACAAATATTTTTATTGCTCAAAAAATGTATCATCTAAACTGTTAACATTTGAGATTCTTTCTGTTACCTGAACACAAAGTATCGAAGTATTTTAGTGTCACTAAAATGTTCCAGATAAATTACATTAAGCAAAACCCTCTCATTTTATACTAGTAACTGTTTTATAAAAATCTTCTAATTTACAAGAGGGTTTTATTCTGTTTTTTTTCTCTGCTTTAATACATGCGAAATGTTTTGAGTATATGAGCAGAACTTGTTAAGTATAGACTAGACCTCTGTACAGTTGTAGTAATTTACAACTGGTAAGATTCTGTCATAATTTTAAGAACTCGGCCAGCAGATCACAAACATGCAGCTAATACAACCTACAGTCTCATTTTCAACAAATATTATAAAGCTTGTAGAGTCCAGGCTATTGTGCAAATCATGTTTTACTTCGGAAATGCACAGGCAGATATTTCTACTTTAGGCACATTAATTGCTATGAACAAAGATGCGGCTTTTCTTTATAGATGAGAAAGTTAAAATTACCAAGTTCCAGCTTTTCAGGCTTTTCATGACCTATTTTTCTATGAAGATTTTAACAGAGCAGACAGGTTTCACCAGCAGATGTCTCTCTTTCTGCATTGACAGGCTGATCCAAATTTTAACTGCCCTTCAGCAATATTTTTGTTCTTTTTCTTGTGGGTTAGGTGGGAAGAATAGAAAATAATCATAAGAATGAATTTGGTTCAAATGCCTGCCGGTTATTCCTGTTCATGAGGAAAATTGCAACTGTTTCTAAAATGATCATGTGACATATTGTCTAAATGGTATTTGTATTGATCCAAAATTGCTAGCAATTGAATTTGAAGTGTGCTGTAATGTTTGCTTATTCACTCCAGTTTTATTTATCCTGGAGGTGTTTCTTGTCATTATTATTAGGCTTGATTTCTCTTTGAAAGATGATGAAGAAAACAACCAGATCATCTTGGATCTTGCTGTTTACAGGTCAGAATTTTTTTTTTCCTCTTAATTTTTGCCATTCTTGAGTTCTAATACACAGTGTTTCAACAATACTGCTCTCTATAATGGGGACTTTTTCAAGAGGAAAACAAATAACATAGGGGATGATGGAATCAATCTTGACGCCTGTGCCAAAGAAATAAAGCTCTATAAACTAAAAACCCTTCAGACTGTTCTGTTACTCCTGAGTGAGGACTATGTCTAATAATCCTTTTTGGAATTGATGTTTTCTGCAGTCCTTTTATACATGTGTAAAATCTTTTCCATTCTTCATTCGCAGATTGATTGCAAGGAATGGGGGTTTTTGCCCACTCTTTGATCCTAGAAGTGCTCCATTACTGTTCATATTCTTCTAGTTAAATTCTTCTCCTCCTCAAGACAGAGTAGGGTAGCCTTGTCCTACTTTCCTTGCTTACTGGAAAGAGTCCATGGCCCATACTCTTTGCTGAACTGTGTCAGGGCATTGCCTGGAAGAAATTTGATCGAACCAGGCCAAAATATGACAAGGAAATCTGATAACTATTTGATAGTCTATTCTACTAAGCAGTACAGTGGCCTTGCCCACACTTCAGGAAGAGGTTGGAAACCCACAAGCTTATTTACCCATAACAGAAACTTGTGAGAGTAAAACTTGAACTGTTTTTATAGCACAGAAACACTATTCATACCAGGTGTTCTTCCCTTAAAGCTCATTAATTTCCTTAAGAAGAAGCCTGCTCCGTGTTTCTGAATTATAAGAATTAGGTTTATTTGGAGCCTCAGAAAATCTGTTCAGGTGCAATAAAATGTTGGATATATTGTAATATTCTGTGCTTACTTGTAAGAAATGCAGACTAAAAAGTTTGAAAAATTCACCTGAGAAATAACATTATAAAAGAAGGGAAATAAGGAATACGTATTTGTGCATTCACATGAGTTTGTGTGTCACATGATTAAGAGCAGATGTTAAAGTGGAGCTTCTACAGGTCACAAATTTTATTTGATGGTGCTGAAATTTAAAAGTACTGGGAATGTAAAGCATTTCTGTTCATTATTTTCCAGCAAATTCTGTGCAAAAAAAGGAACTCTAATTATACATTTACTAGTTAAGCCTTCAGAAAGAAAAGTAGCAAAATACTTTTACAATTTTAAACGGCAAATAGATGAATTTTCATGTTAATGTAAAGCACTAAACTAATAGAAGAAAGGACTTTTCCTGGTGAGACACGGGCACAGGTTGCCCAGAGCAGCTGTGGCTGCCCCCTCCCTGGCAGTGCTCGAGGCCAGGTTGGATGGGGCTTGGAGCAAACAGCTCTAGTAGAAGGTGTCCCTGCCCATGGCGGGGGGGCTGGACTAGATGATCTATAAGGGCCCTTTCAACTCAAATGATTCTAAGATTCTATGATTTTCCACAAAGATTTTGAATTCTTGCAGTTATACAATAGCTGACATGGTAGACTTGACTGAATTTAGACAATATTTTAGTTGACATTCTATGAACACACAGGAAGATCACCTTTTTCTTCCACAGACGTTAAATCTGAATAATATTTCATATAACTTAATAACTGAAATTGAAGTTTGTAGTTTATGAACTGCGAAATCATCATTAAGGAGTTATATGGTCTGCACTGCTTATTCACTGGATTGTACTGTAGATTGATTCATTTATTTATGTTTCATTCTGAAGACATTTGGACACTTCTCTGCTTGATGTTGATGTCCAGCCAACTTATGTACGAGTGCTGGTGAAGGGAAAGGTTAGTGTTTTCTTACTACATTAATTTCAAATCAGGAGTTGATGCTTACCATAGTTATTCAGTGGACTCTTGATCTGACTTTACGAGTTAACTAACAACCATGTGCACCTATGCAGAATAAAATGTTCTTTCATACTTGCGTTATTTTGGACCACACACAAACTGTGGAAGTCCTAACCAGAAGATGTGCAAAGCTTGAAATGAAATTTCACTCTCTTTTTCTCTCCTTCCCTCTTCTTATTCCCTGCCCCGCCACCAGTGAACCATAATTCACTTAAGAAAGCTTGCTCATTGCCCTAGGCTAGAATTTAGCAATTTTACAATCTGGAATTTATAGCTGACAGAAACAAATGGATGTATATTCGTTTGAAAGGGCATTTAAAATGTCATTCCAGTTTTCTCTCTTCTCAGTGGTTTTAATTTTATCATCTTTTTTTTTTTTAAATCCGAAGTGCTTAAACAGTAAACCAAAATCCCTATTTTTGACTGTACCAACTACATAAATAAAACTTCAGAATTACTTTACGTCTAAAATAGACTGGATAATCTTTCTCATTCAAAAGTCAAGCATCATTTTATAACCTTCTTTAGAAATGTCACTTCAGGAATGACAGCAATTCAGGAATATACATGTGACTATACTTGTGAGTAAAAGCTGTTTAGCATGCTAATAATTTATTAGGATTAGTAATACTACATATAAAGTGAGAGGACTTAGACCTAGACTGTCATTAAGATCAAAGGATGTGATATGTATGTTTCTGCATATATTCTGTCCAGGTCAAAAAAAAAAAAAAAGATATTCTGATATACTCTAATCCCATATTTTCTCATAGCCATTTCAGCTTGTGCTCCCTGAAGAAGTGAAGCCAGACAGCAGCTCTGCTAAAAGATCACAAACCACTGGTCATTTAGTTGTCAGCATGCCAAAGGTATGTAAAATAATCTGAGGAGGCATCATACAAAGATAGCTAAATGTTGTGAGTACTTTAGGAATGTTTCTGAGTTACAGGTACCATCTGGCTAGCTAAAGTTACTCAGTCTAGCCTTTCCCATCAGGACATATTTTCCAAAGAAGGAATATTCCAGAAAGACAATTTAATCATAGAGCCAAACCCTAGGATTTAAGATCCCTTTAAAGGAACATTATGAAAATCAGTATAAATAGAACTATTTGTATTTCTGTTATTTTCAACAGAATCGTCTTTTTATATATGAAAAAGAGACTCTGCAAAACACGCAGTGTTGTGCAAATGTGGGAGAAGATGGATTTTTTAAATAACTGAAAATAAACAACTTACCTGCTTTCTTTTTCTACCTGCGAAATAATATAAACAAATCGATTTTTCAAAATTTGTGTGGCACACATATGTATGAAGATTACATTTTGGTTCAAGGTCGAGGATGATGTACTTACTCTCATGTCTCAGGTGATCAGAACAAGAGTTGCTTAATTCATTTTCCCTTCATTCTCTCTCTGGCTGGAAAGGATCCACTGACCAGCTGTACAAACTGCATGTAATCACAGAGCAAGAGGGTTGTGGCAACATGGTGTTCCAACTGCAAAGTGCTGCACAGCAGTCCCTAGCACTTAAGGAAGCCTGGGCAGAAGCCCTGGAGGGTTGTGGCAACATGGTGTTCCAACTGCAGTGCCGCACAGCAGTCCCTAGTACTTAAGGAAGCCTGGGCAAAAGCCCTATTCCCCTAATATTCCTAACTCTGAGCTCTCC